GAACTCGGAGAGGTTGAAATAGCTGGAATTTGCCAAGCTGAACAGGAGATGGAGCTGTGCAGGGGAAGGGCTCCTCCAGGCTCCCTGGGCTTACCTTGAGTCTTGGGCTGAATACAATGTGCACTTCGAGGGTGACTCCATGAGCCTGAATAAAGAACAGTTGTTGAAAAGGGACAGTTCTCAGCCTTTGTTCAAATTGAAACGATTGAGGAGAGAGAAACCTCTGTAATATGTAGGTCACTCCGTAGAAATACCCAAGTAAAAATGATTAAATATGTAAAAGAAAAGGTCGAATAGTGCAATCCATAGCTAAATCAGAAAATAGAAACACGGAGATGACAGCTGATAAATTAACATGGGACATAAGGACATCAAGACAGCGAGTGGGGTTTTTTTCTTTTTACTTTTTAAATTTGTCGTAGGGCACACGCACTCACAAGAGGCAGAGAGGGAGAGAGGGAAAGGAAGAAAACATACCTCAGAGAGGATGACGACACTACAGTTTCTTCCTTCTCCACTCCTCTTGGCATTTAGGGCTTGGACACACCGGCATGTTTTTTAAACTTCCAGGTCAGGGACTCAAACCATACAGTCAGCCATATGGGATCCAGCACCGTAACCACGCCACCTGGCTGGCCCCAGAAACTGTAGGTTTAAAGAAAGTAAGAACATAATGAGAGGATAAACGGAAGGTAAAGAACTGAATAGTTCTTCCAAAGAAGCAAAATAATGTCTGAAATGAACATGTCACTGGATGAGATCAATAGCAGTTGAGACTCTCCAGAAGAAAAGAAGGCAGTGACCTTGAAGAGCGTGCTGAAGCGCACGTTGTGTGATTCCTGGCACGTTCGGGGTTGGTGTTTATGGGCCGCTCCTGGACACGTGCTGCCCCCATCTCAGACTGCTCCCCCAGGCTTTCTCCTTCCAGCCGCCCTCAACCCTTGGAGCTACTGATTCCAGCTTGTATATTTCTCCAAATTTCCAAGCAAAGTGTTTATCTTTTTATTCATTAGTTTAAACCTTAATTAAAGTAGAAGATTTGAGGGCCAGTGGGTGTCATGGTGGTTAAGGGCGCTGGACTCCCTCATAATAGACCACAGTTTGAATCCTGACCGTCTTGCTTTCTCACTTTCTCTCTCTCTCTCATTTTGTCTCTCTCTGGTCAAATTAAAATAAATTTCTCTCTCTCTCTCTCTCTCATTTTGTCTCTTTCTGGTCAAATTAAAATAAATAAATGAAATTAAGTTAAATAAGAGAATTTTTTTAAAAAGAGAGAATTTGGTTTTCTTAAACAGTTTTTCCTGTTAAAAAAGCTGCCTTCTGGGGGCTGGTAGGTGGTGTGGTGGTTAAGGTACTGGACTCCCATATGGCTGACCACGGTTCAAGTCTCGGACCTGGTGGCTTACTTTCTCACTTTTCCTCTCTCTCTCACTTTCTCATTCTGTCCCTCTCTGGTCAGATTAAAATAAATAAATAAATAAAATTGAATACTATAATTCTTTAAAAAAAAAAAAAAAACCTGCCTTCCCTCCTCTTGTTTTCCTCTCCCCCACTCTCAATACTTTTCACTTCCACTCTTCAGTTAAGTCAGTAATTATTATTTACCTCTCTTACCTATGCACAGTCACGGATAGTGTTGTGCTAAATGTACTGTTTCCTCTATTAAAATTTTTCCCATAGTGAGACCAGCAAATGGCATAGTGGTTACGTTGCTAGATTCCCACATAGTAGACCACAGTTCGAGTCCCAGACCTGACAGCTTAAATCACATTAGGCATGTGTGCATATGTGCCCAAGATTTGGAAAGGAGAATGGAGGAGAAAGGATTGCAGTGTGGCCATCCTCCCTGGGGCAGGGGGGGGGGGTGATTTCTTGCTTTCTGTCTCTGTCTAGCAAGCTCACGCACCCTATAGCAAAAATCCCCCCCCAATTTTTTTCCCTGTAGCTATTTTTTCATCTGTGTAGGGATCTTTGTATCTATTGCTAATTCTTTCTATACTGTTTTGTAGTCTCTCAGAACCATTTTCCATAAGGTCAGTGGATACTGGCCAATATATACTGGAACACAATGCACTCCACACATATAACACACTTTTCAAGTAGTCACAGTAAAAGAAGAGTGAAAGGAAGCAGATGGCATGGTATGTAGTATATTTTATTCAATAATTGACCTAGTTTGTTCAAAATGTCTTTTCAACAAGTAATATTTAACATATTTGAGATATTTTACTTTCTTTTTTTAATATATACACTTCTAGCATTCTCTTTTCAGACTGGTCACATGTAGTCGGTGTGGGGGACAGGTGTTTGCAGGCAGTTGCTCCTCGGCAGGCTTGTTGGCAGGCTTGTTCTCGGCCGTCTCTTCTGGAAGCTGCTGTCCTCCTGTCTGGGTGGCTGGTCTGCCCCATGGCAGTCATCTTGAGGCTGACTTTGCTTTGCTTTTCAGTGGAGCATCCATTTCCTGGAGTGGGGTCTTTTCATTTCCCTCCAGTAGTCTGACCAGTAGACACAGTCTGACCCTGTGTCTGGAGCTTGGTTGTCACCTGGATCTTACCCACCACCATTGTTGTGGGGATTACCTTTGCCCTCCTTGGATCCTTCCCCACCCCTGTGTATCCCATCTCTTTCTTTCCTTGGCCTATTTCTTTACTCAGGTAGGTGGAAGTCATGCTCCAGATTGTTGAGAAAAGGGAACATGAGTGGTAAAGTTTTTGAGACCCTGCATGTCAAGAATGTTTCCTTTTTTTCTTGAGACATTTTGCTAGAGGGCACATATGCTTGCCAGAGAGACAGAGACAGAGAGACAGAAAGCAAGAAATCACCTCCCAAGGGGACAGCCATACCACAGTCCCCTCTCCTCTCAGGATTTTGGGCATGTAGGCACGTGTGCCGGCATGAGTTTCAAACCTCCGGGTCCGGGACTTGAACCACAGTCAACCATGTGAGAATCCAGCAACATAACCATTATGCCATCTGCTGGTCCCGAGAATGTTTTTATTGTCCCTTCTTACTGTGACTTTTGGGCTGGGTATGGAATTCTAGGTTGGAAATAATTTTTCTTCAGCATCTTGAAAGCTTCACCCTATCGCTGGCCAACTTTCAGTGTTCCTGTAGTCAGGAGCCAATCTGGTTACCTCATCCTGTGAAAGTGAACTGCGTTTTTCTTCTCAGAAACTTAGAGTATTCTCTTTGTCCTCAGGCAGGATTCTATAATTGTACCCTAATGTGCCTTAGAATTAGTCTGTTTTATCATTATAATAAATATCGGTTGGGCCTGGGAAATAAATAACTTGATGTTTTCTCTCTTTGGTGTGGTTTGGTTTTCATTCATTTAATTTTTTTTTTTTTTTTGGCTTTACTTTCTGACAGGATTTTTACTTTTATCGGACTCTTCAATTGAGAAGTCATTTGTCATTTTTGCTATCTTGTTTGTAAATTCCAAAAGACATTTAAAAAAATTTTTATATAACACCCTATTCTTAATTCGTGAGTACAAGATTCTTCCTTACTTTTCTGAGTATATATTAATAACATAGAACTTAAATCTTCCTATTTTCTGCAGTTGATTTCCTCTAGGGTGGTTTTTTTCCTGATTTGGGGCTTTTATTTTTCTGTTAGGGCTTTGTTTTTTTGTTTTTCCTCCTCTCCTCAGTAGGGTCTGTACTGGCAGGCTGAGAGCCCGAGCAGGTATCAGGGCCGTTGATGTGGACTGGCCACAGGGCCTCTAGGTGCCCGTTGTCGTACACTCTGGTTCTTGTCTGGTCAGATCTTCTGGGAGTACGCTGCCTCCTCCTGGCAGCAGTGTGAGTGTCAGATGGGGAAAGAGGATTTGGGGTGCTATGTGTTGCTTAAACAGAGTTGCTCACACCTGCTGTTTTTGGTGGGGCACTCACACTTTCCACTGTGCGATCTAGCTGCAGTCCAGAAACCTTCTGATTTATGTTTTCCGGGAAGCAGGTCTCCAGATTTCTGTCCAAGTGTGAGGTGACTGTCCTGCTGCTGCATGAGAGGGGGTGGGATGGGATGGCACCTGGCTCTTCTCAGCTGCCACCCCCCAAGGGTGGCAGCACTTCCTGGGCCCCTGGAGGAATCCAGGCGGAGATTCAGGGCTCTCGACCTAGCTGCAGCCGGCTTGTGCCTGCACTGTCTCGGGCTGGAGCCTCTAAGCAGCCTGGTTGTGGCCTCTGGAATCCTGCGCTGTTTTCTCTATGCCTCTTCTCCCCTGTGGATTTGTCTTTCTCTTTTAAATTGTAGTAAAACACACAAAACATCCGGTTCACCATTTTAACTGTTTTTAGGTATACAGCTTAGTGGCATTAAGTATACGTGTGTTGTTGCAGTTTTGTCTTTTAATGAGAAGAAAACACGAAGTTCTCGTGAAAGGATTGTTCGGTGTGATTATGGTAGTGTCTTAGGAGAGCGGGATTAGACGTGTGCTGCGGTTTTCTGACCCGCAGGGATGAGGGCTCTTTACCACCGCCCAAGAAAGCGGTTGGATAGTTTGTTGGCGTGAAAGTGCATTTTATCTGTTCCTAGTAACTGGCTTTACAGAAGGTTACAGTTAGAACTCCCAGGTCTGGCGCTCAAGGCCTACCCACCTGCATCCTCCAGCCATCTGCCGTTCCTCCCCACAGCCTACTCACTGTTCCTGGCATAAGATGCCATCTCCAGCCCCCTTGCCTTGGCAGTGCTGGGTGTTCCTGAGTGAGAGGCACCACCCTCCCTCCTACTCTCAGCCTCTTCCTCATCTTTCCAGCTTCCAGACCCACGCCGCTGCCTTCTGCTCTAGGTCTGTGGTTGCTCCCTTCTCTTTTCCTCCCATGACTTTGGCCACAGCTCTGAGTGATCAGCCTGCCTTTCCCAGTCTGCCTGGCTCTGCTCAGTGTCTGTTTCTGCCCCAGGTCTTCCTCAGTGCCTGACAGGTGGCTGGTGCCCAGTCACCATCTGGGTGAATTCTGAATGCCAGAGATCTCCAGAGAGAACTCTATGCTTTTTTGTAGGACATCCGACATGAAGCCAGTGACTTCCCATGCAGAGTGGCCAAACTTCCTAAGAACAAAAACCGAAACAGGTACAGAGACGTCAGCCCCTGTAAGTATCCACATGGTCCCCGCCAGCTTCCCTCTGGCCCAGCTGCAGGCCTTTGGTCAGGGCTCCTGCAGCCAGGGCTCTGGCAGTACGTTGACAGCAGGAGAGGGTTCTGACTTGATTGTTCCCTGTAGCAGAGACCTGAGACGCTGATGGCAAAGACTCATTTTTCACCATTGTAGAATGGGTAAGGTCTCAGTTCTGGAAAATTTAACCAAGTTCAAAGCACTTCTTCGGCTTACTGTGTGTGTGATGAGTCATTTTCCTACCAGCTGAGGTGGCGTGGAACAGGCATGCCACAACCTGCTCTGGGTGACTCAGCATCCGTGTCATAGAGCCTGAGCATGGTGTGGAACTGCAGCGGTCTCAACACAGGCTTTCAGGGTCAGAACTGTCACCCCCCGCAAGATACGCAAGTCAGCTGTGCTTGCCAAGCCCCCGCTCCACCCCACGTCCGCCACCTTCCGTATGCTTCCTCCTCTCCTGCTGCTGTCACTTAGAGTCGGCAGTGTGCCTGCTGGCCTCTGGTGGCTGCCTCAGCCTTCTGAGTGCCTTGGCTCACAGTCTCCCGGTATCTCGAAAACTGATAACTCAGCATGTTACAGGACCTGAGTTTTCTGCCCCTCCAGGCCCTGGGGGCCTCAAAGACTCCCCTCCAGGGCCCGTAGACATTGTGGTTTGTGCAGCCCCGTGTCTGCTGACATCCCTCCCCACGGCAGTGTGCACCTCCAGGGACACAGAAGAGTCAGGTTAGTCCTCTAATGGGCGCTCCCTACGTGCCCAGCACCAAGGCTGGTGGTGGCTGTCTGTGCTGTCATGGGAGGTTGGCAGGGCATGCTGCCCAGACTTGTCCAGTGCCCAGGGTCCTGGGCGGGTGTGAAAATGGACTGAAAATTGGTGCAGAACATGTACCTCCTGGCCTGCATCCGTGGTTCCCTGCCTGGGTTCATACCATAGCTCTGCCTCTCAGAGCTGTGAGGTTAGGTGCAGGTCCTGTCCTCTGCTCGTCAGTAGAACAGGAGTGTGTGCAGATGGAATGGACCTACATAAGCCACGAGCCCAGTGCCCGCCCACCGTAGTAAGTGCTCAGTAAGTTGGCCCCAGGACAGCTGAAGTGCAATTCTAGGTCCTCAGGTGACACACGACAGTGCCCCTACTCCAGCACTCTTGCTTTGTTTAGCAAGTCTAGGCCGAGGCACCTCATAGAAGTATTTGTCTGAAATGAAAACCTCACTGATTCTGCTGTGAAGTCTTGGCCAGAAACATCTGGACAGCCAGTCTGAGTGCAGCATGGCTACTGGTCATCTCTTCTACCTGCTGCCAGGGCACCCTGGGCCTGCAGCTTCTGCTGTATTGACTCTGAATCTGGGAACAGTGTTGCCTTTAATATTCCTTGCTACATTGTATTTTTATTTTTACTTTCTTGTCATAGGACATGTTTACCCACTGGAGGGTGGGCAGAGGGAAAGTGAGAAATCCCTCCTTCCGGGGGGATGGCCACACTGCAATCCCTTCTCCTCCAATATCCTCCTGGGATTTAGTGCATGTACACATACTTGCCCAGTGTGATTTTTCAAGCTGCTGGGCCTGGGCCTTGAACTGCAGTTGGCCATGTGAGAGCTCAGCACCTTAAGCATCATACCATTTTCTGGCCCTCTTATTGCATTTTTTAATAATTTCTCACCTAAATGGCTTTATGAACCAGTTTTTTTTTTTTTAAGAATTACTTTTTATTTAACTTTATTTATTTATTGGTTTGTTTTAATTTGACCAGAGAGGGACAGAGAGAGAAAGAGAGAAAGCAAGCCACCAGGTCCAGGACTCAAATCGTACTCCTGCACCCTTAACTATTGTGCTACCTGCCAGTCCCTCAACCGTTTTTTTTTTTTTTTTTAATAATTATTTATTTAATTTTATTCATTATTATTGTTATTTCTTTTAGCAGTCATCAAAGAGAGGTAGGAAGAAAAAGAGAGAGGAGGAAAGGGAGAAAACAAGCTGCCAGGTTCAGGACTCGAACCGTGGTCAACCATGTGGGAGTCCTGCATCCCAACCACTACACTTCTTGTTGGCCCCTTACAAACCAGGTTTACAGAGAAAAAACATTCTTTCTGGAAACAGTTCCCAAACTTATTCACCCCCAGTCTCACTCCTCAGCTTTTTTTTCTCCCTTCCACTCCCCTCCAGTAGAAAAAGTAATTTGCTATTAAGCTTATAGAGCAAATAAGGAGAAAGGTGACCTGCTATGTGGCTCCCAGGGCTGGGGACGATGACAGCAGAGGCTGGCAGTTCGCGGACATGTGCCTCTCCCAGGGGCTGTGCACTCTTTCTCTTATAACGCTCTCGTGACCTTCCACACAGCAAGCGGCAGAACCACGCTCGGAGGCCAAGTTGTTTGTCGAAAGTGCCCAGGACTGTTGGAGCCCACTCAGCATAACCCACCAGTGCCAGCCCCACAATGTTTCTGGAGACCTTTTACCTCCATGAGCCACTTAACAAGTTACCCTCCGTAATGAGAAACAGTATCCAGACAGTGGCTAGTTTGCAGTGAAGTCTCTCTTTGGAATCTTTCTTTAGAACCAAAGGCCCCAAGCCTCTTGTCCTCGTTAATTTTCCCATTGGTCTGAGAGAGAGGATAGTGCTTATGCGTGGTCACCTGAGTTCGCTGTCCCCTGTGCTGTGCCAGAAATAAAAACACCTGCTCTCGTTTCTGTACTAAAGGACAAGGAGAGACCCCTTGGGGCCATTGTTTTTGTGTCAGAGTACTTGTAAGAGAAAATGGGTGGCCATGTTTTTTTCAGTAACCTCAGGCGGAACTTACACGTTGGGAGAGTTTATTTCTAAAAACAAATCTAAAAGTTACAGTTAATATACGGCTAGTATTTTGGATTTAGAGTTTTTACTTTTAAAAAAAGAATTTTCTTTAAAAATATCTGATCATGACATGTTCTAAATTTGAAAAATTTGGAATCCTTAAGTACTTGAACTTAAAAATAATCCTCGTATAAAAGAATTCAAGGTAGGAACCAGCAGTTAGCGTAATGGCTATGTTGCTGGACTCCCACGTAGTCGACCGCGGTTCGCGTCCCACACCCCGTGACTTAAAACTCACGCCAGGCGCTCCAACAGTCCTGGGCACTTTCGACAAACAACTTGGCCTCCGAGCGTGGTTCTGCCGCTTACAGTGTGCGTCCCCAAAATCCCGAGAGGAGAAAGGAGGAGAAGGGATTGCGGTGTGACCATCCCCCCTGGGGGGTGATTTCTCGCTTTCTGTCTCTCTCTGTTTGTCTGGCGAGGGCACGAGCACTATAGCAAAAAAAAAAAAAAAAAAAAAAGAATTCAAGGTATAGCTTTTAACATGGCTATCTACTTAGGTCACTTAAAGGTCAATCCATTGGACTCAGGTGAGGTTGAAGAGCTTGTATGTCCTACTGGCTGTGGACTCACTGTACAGTGACAGCTGTGGGGACCAGTGACATTTTTGGTGGATTTTGTTTCCTTCTAGAGATGTAAGCCCCTGTGTGGTTTTACCCTGTGAAAGTTGGTGTCGGGGTGGGAGAGCAGATCCTGTGAGGCCCACCACATTCTGGGGAGAGTGAGAAGGATCCTAGCAAGGTGTGGCCTCAGCACACATTTCCCCAGTAGGGCAGAATCTGTGTATTGCTACGACTGTTGCTATTTGGTGCTAAGTTTCAGATGCTTGAGAAGACCTTTTAGAAAGCACCAGTCAGCCATGTCGGTGACTGACCTCCACTCCGAGGGCAAGACCTCAGCCTGTGAGCGCCTGAGCATCATCGACTCCCCTCGGCTTTCCTGGGGCACCCCTGTGTGTAGACACTGGGTCCCAGGTCAGCCTCTGAGTTCTGCTTGCCTTTCAGTTGACCACAGTCGGATTAAGCTCCATCAAGAAGACAACGACTACATCAATGCTAGTTTGATAAAAATGGAAGAGGCCCAGAGGAGCTACATTCTCACCCAGGTAAGTGCATCGTCTGCATTTGGAGGGATCGTTTTTGACTTAATCTCTGCCAAGAGTTTTAGAATGCTGTTATCCACACCCCACATAAAATCCTTTAGAAGGTCGGATTTTAAACATCAAAAAGGAGTAAGGAAAGAGAAGTTCTTCCCTGGGAGATGGAGTTTGGTCTCGGTGCTCGTCTTTTCTGGGAAGTATGCCATGATGATGTGGGGAACGAGAGCTTTCAGAAAGCCTTGGTAGGGCTGGCCCATGGCCTAGTGGTTGCGATGAGCGGGATCCCACGTGGCTGACTGCAGTTTAGACCTGACCCCTACAACCTGAAGGACACGTGCGCACGCACGTGTGTTAGTGTGTGCCCCAAACCCAGACAGGAGGGAGAATTGAGGACAAGGGATTGCGGCATGGCAGAACCCCGCTGCATGCTACTTCCTCCTTCCTCTCCCTCTCGCTCTGTCTCTTTGTGGTGAGCACATGCGTCCTCTGGCAATTAATAACCGCAAAAAAGAAAACCTCATTAAAATGCCGGCAATGCCTATGGTCTGTTGACAGAGGCAGTGGAGCCATGGCTGGAGACGGGCCTGTGCCCACATCGATTTCAGACGTATTTGCCCCTGAGCGTCCAGCGCTCCCGATGGCAGGTCTAAGAAGGTTCCAGTAGGCCAGAGACCTCTGTCCGGACAGCCATTCAGAGTTCCTCCAGCTGGTCCTCATTCTTTGATCCAGAAAAGTGCATCATTAGATTACATGAGCAAGCACAAAAACTCACTTAAAATGGCCGTTGGTCTTTGTCATCTTCATGGAATGATTATGAAAGTGGTTTAATAACTGGGCCTCTTCAAGGATAATAGTATGTGTCCCAAAGACCATGGGTATCTGGGAAGAGGACCAAGGAGTTTCTTTTTTTTACTTTCCTCAGGTCTCACCCTGTGACCTGTCACTGGTCTGACCAGTCAGGTCTTTTACTTTCTCACCATCACTTTTGTCCTCAGTCCATATCAGCTTCCCGGCCTTCCCTACGGCTCTAGGCTGTTGGGTGATTTTGAACTTCATAATTCTGCTTCGTAGTGGAAGTCAGAGTGCAGGTGAGGCCAGAGAGCTCTGTGACAAAGGCTGTCTAGGCAGGGCTTACCCAGCTGGGGCCTCTCCACTGCCGTCTGTCCTGCCCCGGCTCCTGCCCTGTGACCGGAATCAGCTCGATGCCTCCCAGTAAGCGTGTGCCCGTCAGCCCAGCTGTGTCTGGTCCTGTAAGACCACTGGGTGCCACAGTCCTTTACAGGCCCTGAATCCCTGTCCTCCAGCACCTCCAGGCTGTGGGGTGCAGGCCATGGTGAGGCTGGGAGTTGTGGCAGGCCTGCGTGCAGGAAGAGGTTAAGGCACAAGGGACTTCTTGGGAACTTTACTTTTTGGAGAAGTGAAACTTCTGTTTTCCTGGCTTCAGTCACTCAGCCTTGAGCCTTCTCTACACCCGTTGGAGAACAGGGTATCTAAAGTCGAGTGGAGGGTAGGTGGTTACCATGGAAACTTGCCACTGTCATCCCACCCCAATGCCCTGTGAGATGTCGCTGTCCGTTTTGTGAGCTGGTGCCGTGGAGGCTGGTCAGCTGTATTCATAGTCTCCTTTTGTGCTGGGGTTTCAAAGGAATCAAAGCAGTCTAACCCCAAAGTAGCACCCCTAGACACTGAATGAAGTGTTTTCCAAGCCTCAAAACCAAGAGAACCATTTGTTATTTGTGTTGTTATTTATGCAAATAATAAAAGTCCGAGATCTGGAGGACTAGAGAGTGCCGTCACAGGTATCTTCTCTTACCTTCCCTGGAAGTGGTGGCTCAGCTTGGCCTGTGACCTTGCAGACCTGCGATTTTAGTCCTTCAGACCCACTCTAAACTGAGGTGGCGCTGAGGATAGGAGGGTGATGGAGAGCTAAGTGCTGCCTCTATGGGAGCTGGCGCTGGGTCCTCATGCCCAGGCCAGAGGGCAAAAGGCCCAGGGGCCACGTGTGGTCCACTCTGGTCTGAATCCCTATGGCACGTTCTAAGAGTGCCGCTGTCTGGGTCCTCCAGTGAGTTCGAGATGAGCCGGGACGAGCGAGAGGGCTGAGCGCTAGCCTGGTCAGGGAGGGTGGTGAGGCGTAAAGGAAAAAGGTAGGGAGGAGGAGGAGAGCGTGGATGAGGGCCCAGGAGAAGGAAGCCATTTGAGAAGCTGTGCTGGCCTGAGCTAGAGATGAGCTCTGGTATGGAGGCGATAGGACGTGCCCTGCCACGTGGCACTAGCAGTTGAGATGGACACAAGGCACCTGCCCTGTCCAGGGAACAACTGCACCATTGCCAGGTGGGCTGGAGGGAGGCAGGCCAGCACTCGGCACACCCTGCCATGCCCCCACGGCCACGTGTAGACTGTTTCTGTGTCCACGTCTCTTACGTCCCTTGGTCTGAGGACGAAGGCTGTCCATAGAACACGAGCTCAGGCCGCACGGGGTGCTCACTGTGTCCCCGGACTTGCTGGTTCCTTCAGAGGTCGATAAGTAGATGGCACATGTATCCGAGTGGTTCTTGCTCACAGCCCCTGACTAGGCACTGCTGTCGTCACGAGGGCTAGAGGGAGAGGTGTGTGACTCGCTCGAGGTCATGCGATGATGAGTGATTGGAGGTGGGACGCCTTCCTCCAGGAGGGTCATGGCTGACAGCTGCCCCTGCCGCCTCCCCCCTGCACCCCATAGTTTGTCCCACATTTCGTCTGCCTGAGGGATGGCTCTCTGTGGAGCCCCTCAACCAGCCAGCCCAAACCAGAAGGCAGAGTCAGCGTTGTTGCTCTTGGCTGGCCAGCCTTGAACTGCAATGCGGAAATGACCTTTTATCGCATGGTAGAAAATAGAACTGTGGTCACTGACCGCTGGGCCAGGAGAGGCAGGTTCTTGGGCCAGCATCAGCCACCACTGCCTACGTTGGTGGGGACTGAGGGCACCGTAATGCGCTGCCCACTGAAGGGGCTCACCCTGTGGTCCGTGCGTTTCAAATGTCACACCGTGTGAATTGTGTTTGCAGGGCCCTCTGCCCAATACCTGCGGGCACTTCTGGGAGATGGTGTGGGAGCAGAAAAGCAGGGGCGTCGTCATGCTCAACAGAGTGATGGAGAAAGGCTCGGTAAGTGCGCTCCGTCGCGCTTTGTCTGTCCGTGTGCGGACCCACCGCAAAGGCACCCTGGTGTCTGGGTTTCTTTATAGTTCCTTTACGTAATACCGTCTTTATGTAGGAACTTAAAGAAGCGATATATACGTGCATGTGCTTGTAAGCAGGTCAATTCAGCGAGTAAGGAGGAGGAACAGAGCAAAGTTACCCTTGGCGTACGTACCTTGGCAGGTCTCTCCCCAGAGCTGGACGTGCGTGCTTCGCTTAGACGGGCATGCTTTGTTCCGTTCCATGTTCACGCGGGGTCCCCGTGCTGCTGCTGTTCTGTCATGGAGCCGTGTAAACATGGCTTTATTTGGAGAGCAAGGCTTTAGTATGTCTTGGTCATTCCTGCCTGCTGGGCTGGTAAAAGTGTGCACCCTGTGACATGCTGAGCTGGGGGACAGCTGGGCTCTCGCCACGCCTCACTGACGGTGTCTGCCAGGTGTTCACGTGGAAACTAGTGTTGTTCCACATTCTTTACTCCGGGACAGGGTGCAGACTAGAGGTGTAGGGTTGTGCAGACCCCCAGCCCTGCCTCTGTCCATTCTACACTGTGCTTCCGGAATGATCTTTCGCATCAGGTCCCATCCGACAGTCCTTCTGTCTCACAGTGTGGCTTGCAGGACCCTATGTGTCCGGCCCTGGTCACCTGGACATGAGTGGCTTCCACTCTTCAAATTCCAGCCAAGACAAACTTTGCTCTGTTTAGTTGCTGGTCATGTTCGCTGGCTCAGGGTCTGACTCACATGTCCCCCATGGGGCATCCCACTTCCAGTGTCCTCAGATCGCTGCCCTGAGGGTAGCCTGGACCCCTCCCCCTCGCCCCATCTGTTGTGATTGCCTCTTAAAGGTCTCTGTCCCATGTTAAGACCGTCTGTGTGCCCAGTGCCAGGCTGGTGTTCAGCTCTTTACTGCCCCCCTCCCTTTCCCCAGGCACTGCTACCACCTTTTGGGGCTCCCCAGCCTCAGAAGTTGAGGCCCTGGGAGGAGCTGAGGATGGTGGAGTACATTGGGAATGTGCGACCCAGGAGCAGAGAACCGAGCGTCCCTGGGTTTTGCCAGGTTCTGGCAATGTGCTCTCTGGGGCTCCGATGGGACACCATTGCTGTCCTGGCCACTTTGGGACACAGACATGGCTTGCCAGAAGAACCTGAGGGCTCCCAAGGAGCCACCCCTCGACAGAAAGCACAGTCCTGGCCTTGGGGGTAAGGAAGTCACTTAGAAAGCAACAACACATCAAAAGCGCTTCACAGTGAAAACGAAGCATTGAACACAGAGCCGCTTCCCCCTGCCACGTGAAGGAGTCATGCTGGTTACTCACGGAAAGCACTCCTGCAGGACAGCATGTTTAAAATCATGGTTTTTTCCAGAGGGCGGGGGTTGCCTCTACGACTACCTTTTTATAAAACGTGGAGGTATTTATTCGTTCGACAGTGAGATTAGGAGCTTGCCCACTGCTCGATTGATGAAATGGTGTTGCCCGTCTTTGGCAGCGCTTTGGCAGTGGAAGTGGTTTTTAATTTTCCTTCCAGCTTCAGTAGCTTGATTAGTCAAATATGAAGTTATGAACACCAAGCAGACCCCTTCGTCATGCTTGTCAGCAAATTTGAATAAAGAAACAAAACAGGAGGCTCCCACAGCAGACGCGCTCTGCAGGCAGAACTGCCAGCGGTGGCCGTGGAAGCCTTCAGCCCAGGCTGTCCTCAGCATTTTGAACTGCCGTACCCCTGACAGCCGGGCTGGCTGGGCCGAGCGCATGCTGCAGTGGGGGTGTGTCTTGTGCGTCATCGATGTTGAGACGAATCGTGGCCTCTACTCACTCGGTGCTGGTAACACCACCACCCAGATGTGGCAGTCAGACTGTCTCCATGTCCAGATGCCCCACTTAGTCCAGTGTCCCTGGCAGGCAAAGTGGCTCCAGCTGAGAACCACTGCTCTAAGGGGGCATTGAGAGTTAGGAGTTGTAAATCAAGGCACTGATTTCAAAGCCATCAGACATGTGGCAGCACTTGCTTTTCACTTCGTCGTGGAAGTCCCAGCACCTCCTCGCTGTAAGCCCACTGTCTGCCGTAGCCACTGTTGTCACATTGCAGTCAAGAGCAATATCGGGCGTGGTGGTCACGTTTGTCAGCAGGCCCTGCTCGAGGCCTTCTCCCACCCACGGTTGACACGTACAGCCTACTCCCGCCGTAACAGCCTCCCCCCTTGAATTACCGTGTCGGCCGTTCGGAAACCTGCCAGCGGGGTGCGGTTGACTGTGTGTGTGACAGTGGTCCTTGCTCTCGCTGTTGCCATTCCATCCCACTCAGGATCGCTTCGGCATGCAGATGGGCATAAAAAGCAACGTATGTTTTAAGTCTTAGTCTCTTTGGAATTGTTTTCAATTCTGCACTTGCAAAAGGGCTGGCGGGCAATAGTTATGAGAAGTTGTGGTGTCTTATTTGCTCAACTAATCTGATTATAAAGTGTCCACACTGCGTGGGAAAGCCAGCATGCAGAGTTTCTACCCAGTGCATATTTGTTTTCTGATCTCCTTCCTTCACCAACTGGTGTAGGCTGTTCCCCTCTTACTCTTGGCCAGCCTGCGGCTACAGGGACTCCATGCCCCGGAAACCAGGCACGCAGAGGTGGTTGTGTGCATTAGACCGGGGTCGTTCAGTATTGACTCAGGTTCAAAATGGGCTTTAGACAAGGCAGTATAGCGTGTCCATGTGTGGGGCGGTTGGGATTGTTGTCTGGGCAGGGACGTAGGCTGGGCGAGTTTAATTCGCCGTCCCAGGGCCTTCCCTGTTCTCTCTCTCCGAAGTTGCTCTAAGCCTGCCGTCAGGTGCCTCTGCACAGGACACTGCATCGGGTGTCGCAGGGACGTTTGCCTTGTTTGTATCTCGGACTCTGCTTGCTTTGTTCTGTTAATGATTCTCGGGAAAACCACATCATCCATCATGGGGTCACTATAGATGACTATAGTCGACTGTGGTTCGAGTCCTGGACCCCGTGGCTTAAACTCACGCCAGGCGTGTGTGCATGTGTGCCCAAGATCCCTAGAGGAGAATGGAGGAGAAGGAATTGTGGCATGGCCATCCCCCCGAGAGGTGATTTCTCACTTTCTGTCTCTGTCTTTCTGGCGAGCACACGCACCCTATAGCAAAAACCTCTCCAAAAATAAATAAATAAATAAATAAAAGGATTGCCCAGCTAGGCTGGCAAGCAGACAGCATGATGGTTAAGGGCGTTGGACTCCCATGTGGTGGCTTGCTTTCTTGCTTTTCCTTTCTCTCTCTGGTCAAATTGAAAAATAATAATAGTAGTTGAAAAAATAAATAAATCTTAAAAAAAAAAAAAAAGACTGCCCAGCTGTTTGTTTGGAAGGCCCCCAGGACTCTCTCTGACATCTGGGTTCTTGGTAGAAACTGCAGCTCCAGGAGACGCCAGCACATGGACACCACCACGTCCCTGTCTGGTGCCCACCCAAGACAGGCCTCAATCTGAATTCTGGCAAAGAACCGTTTTCTCATAAAAAATGCTCTTTTCAAGTCAGTAGTTATCAGTGTAGTAGGATAACTGGAAGTAGTGAGCGTGTGCTTATCATTTTCATTTTACTTGGTGTGTTTAGAACAAACATTTCCATGGGAAATGACAAAGCAGAGCAGAGCATGTTTCTGTAAATGCCTAAGAGTCCTTAAATGAACGTTGGTCAGTGGGCACGTTGCATGCCAGGGTGCCGCAGCTGCAGGGTTCCGAGGTCTTGGTCTGCACCCAGCTTACAGAGGTTGTTAGGCTCTGTGTTTGACTTTGAAGCCACGCTTACCAGGTGGAGGTGAGGCTTCGCAGTCGTCTTTCCTGCTCATGCAGTGGCGACTTGGCGTGTGCGTTTCTGTTCTCCTGCTCCTGTCTCTGCCTACTGCGGAGAGTCAGTGTAGATGCAGGTGGTCTTGAACCAGCCCGGCCTTCCACTTTGTGTCTGGACCTCGAATTATTACAGGGCCTCATCATCAAGGTGCAGGCGCACCACTCTCTTGTCTAAGGTCACGCCCAGCTGTCCCGCCGCTTAGCCAAGTGAGGTCTGGCCATCTTTGTGCCTCTGTGTCCTCTCGGCAGGCTGGCTTGGGCACTGACACATTGGCCCCACCTCAGCAGCTTGTGACTAGCTCATCATCAATGGAGGGAGGTGACATGATGACACTGGCCAAGACTTTTGAACAGGTTGGTGTCCAGATGTGGGAGGGCCCTGCTGCCTCAGTCCTGGGATGTGACATTGGGTGCTACACTGCTGTCCCACCTGGTGTTCTTTTTTTTTTTTTTTGGAGAGGTTTTCGCTATAGGGCGCGTGTGCTCTCCAGACAGACAGAGAGAGACAGAGAGACAGAAGCGAGAAATCACCCCCCAGAGGGGATGGTCACGCCGCAATCCCTTCTCCTCCATTCTCCTCTTGGGATCTTGGGCACGCACGCACACGCGCCCAGCGTGAGTTTAAGCCACCGGGTCCGGGACGCGAACCGCGTGGGAGTCCAGTGACATAGCCATTACACTAACTGCTGGTTCCCAGCACCTGGTGTTCTTCACCTTTTGTTCTGATTTTGCTGGGGGCAGTGTCCAGTAGAGCAGGCCCACTATGCCTCTGTGGTCTGTGTTCATCCTCCTAGGAGCCTCCTGCCTCCTTGAGACCCCAGATGACACCCAGGTTCCCGGGCCTGATGTCAGACTCAGCTGTGGTTGGGGTCCCCATCAGCTGCTCCCCTGAGCCAGGCCTTACTGTCGCTAAGACAGGAAAGAAATCCTCACCCAAAGCTGCCTCCATAGCGCTGTCTCTTCTCGCTTGCTGATCGCCACAGCCAGCCAGACGTTCCCCTCTGCTGGATTCCCGTGGCTGGGCTGGGGCATTCTCCCCTCAGCACGTCCCACAGTCTGCCTTGTCACTGGGCATGACAGTGTTTCCTGAGAGACAGAGTCTAGCCCAGAGGAGGTCAGCATATGTGAATTTCAAGTGTTACTTCCCCAAGGGCTGTTTGTGTGTGCTGATATTTCAACAAGTCCCTAAGTCCTCAAGCGTCCTCTGCCCAGACACATCGTCAGTCCTGGCTCCCAGACCAGCCACTGAGCCCTGTTGACCTACCAGTTTTGCCCAGAACAGCCATCCACCAGCAAAAACGCCTGAGGAATTTGTGTACACACTTGGTTCAGGCAGTATGTACCCCTAAACTTAAGACAAAACTTCCTTCTTAAACTCCACGTAAAACCAAAGCTGAAGAATGTAAAGAGCTTTAGTTAAGTTTAGAAAATCAAGGAGTTTCTAAAATTATCAAAACAGAACAGCCAAAGTAACTTTCTGAACTGAGCCAAACTAGAGTGAAAGCACTACCAGAGCCCCAGGTGCCCCAAGCCTCCCTGAAGGTTCACTGCACTGGCTGCAGCCCCCTGCACAGCGTGCCCCATCGTCCTTCCGGTCTGGTTTGCACTTTGCCGTGCGTTTCTTTTTGGAGAAGACACTTTTGCTGAGGCGTCTGTGCTCTGTGCCAGCGCCCGACCAGGCCCTTGATGCTCAGACGGCTCCAGGTGGAGAGAGGAGCGGTGGAACCTTCCGTGAGCCTGGCTCCACCGCGTAGGAGGAGGGCGTGTCGGCCCCCCGCACCCATTGCCGTGGATAACCAGGGAGTGCTGGGCTTGGGAGTGTGAGCTTCTCTGCACGGCCAGCCCGGCTCATGTTCTTCAAGGCCCCCCAGCTCTCTGAGGAGCAGATGTCGGCGCTGGCGCTGGGCTCGCACAGTGCCGGGGAACACATGCCACCCTCCCATGGTGGGAGCACCCTGTCGCTCATGCTAACTCGGTGTTGTTCCCTCCCCAGCTGAAATGTGCACAGTACTGGCCACAAAAGGAGGAGAAGGAAATGATCTTTGAGGACACCAATCTGAAGCTAACATTGGTCTCCGAGGACATCAAGTCGTACTACACGGTACGACAGCTGGAGCTGGAGAACCTGGCAGTGAGTATGGCTTCATGCAGCGCTTGGGCAGTGTCACCTAACGCCAGTGTCTGGGTCTCGTGCACCTGCACAAGGTGTGGTTTCGGTGCTGTGGAGAGCAGACCTGCTCGTGTGCCTCCGAGTGACCAGTGGAGCCAGGCTGGAGAGCTCTTGTGAGCCCTTACTACTGCTAGTTAGTACTAGTTCTTAGGAAGGGGAGCTTCTTTAAAAATGATCACTCCTGCTTTGCAAGTTAAACAGCAGCGGGGCACCTGCTCCCTCTCTGTGCATGTGAGGAGGGAAGGTCTGGGGCTGACTCCAGTTTCGTTGCCAGTGGACGTTCTTTTTTTAATTTTTTTTATTTTATTGAACTTTATTTATTTTATTGTATTTATTTTAATTTGACCAGAGAGAGACAGAGTGGGGGTGGTGAGAAAGCAAGCTGCCAGGTCCAGGACTCAACCACAGTCAGCCATGTGAGAGTCCATTGCCCTTAACCACCATGCCACCTGGTGGCCCTACCAGTGGAAGTTCTTCAGGAGCCATCTTAGGTTTGTTTATCGTAGGAAGAATTGACACCACCCGCCAGCCACTTCTGTCTCTAAAAGATGGTCTTGGAACAAACACTGCCGCTGGGGATTGGAGTGACCACCTGTAGCTGAGACCGGGCTCCCCCGCATGGAACCCTGTCCCCTCAATATCAGACTATCAGGCAGGGCAGGGCTGCCCCTCTCCTATGTCTCGGCTTCTTTGCTGTCTGACCAGGGGTATGTACGGGCTCCGCATTGAGGTGGGAGGAGCCAGCCCCATGCCTGGCTAGAGCACGTGCTGAGGATAGGTGAGCAGGTGCAGAGTGAAGTGCCGTGGGGTTGCCCGGGAGCAGTCCAAGGGCAGTCTGGAGGAGTGCGGGTGGTGGGAGCACATGGAGTGTGGCCCGCTGGCTGTGCGCACAGGTGGGCTCTTCTGTGCCAACACATCCCAGCTCCCCGTGCAGCTGTGAGGGCGTCATGGCTCCCTTTAGTCAATTAGCCGTTGAAGTAAGGTCTAGAACTCAGCGCAGGGAACCACGCTTAGGTGAGAGGTCAGCTGTGTGGCTCCTGAGTAGCTCAGCATGGCAGCTGCTCTTGGCCGTGAGGACGTGGAGCCTTAGAGGGGCCGCAGGAGTGCCAGGATGGAGGTGTCTCGAGGGTAGGTGCAGCCTTCCAGAACGTGCCTGGTGGGCTTCATAGTGGGTTTCTTTCTTTATCACGTCATCTAGCATTTGCAAGCCTGACGTCAGAAGTACCTCTGGTAAGCGCGGAAGGAGATGCCTCCTGCTCGTTGATGGAGTCTGGGGGGATTGAGCACTGTTTGCTGGGCAGGGCGGGGTGGAGGCAGCCAGCTCTAGTGGATCATGATATCAGGAATCTGTTCCAACAGACGTTGTTTCTATAGTCTTTTCTGGGCCAGGCAGGTGGCATGGTTATTAAGATGCTGGCTCCAACATGGCCAACTTTGCAGTTCAAGTCTCAGACCCAGCAGCTTGTAAAAACACAGTGGGCCTGTGTGTGCATGCCTAAAATCTCCAGAGGAGAATGGAGGAGAAGGGATGGAGGCGTGGCTGTCCCTATTAGGGATGCTTTCTCACTCCTCAGTCCCCTCTCTCTCTCTGATGAGAACGTGCACCCTCTAGCAAAACTAAAATAATAAAATAAAAGTGTTTCCTCAACCACGGGTGTCAGCCTAAGTGCAGGCCCAGATCGGGTTCCTCGTGGAGGAGGTGGGCAGGTGTGAGGGAGGCGGCCACCCAGAGGTAACCCATGCCTTTGTAAGGATTTAAAGGAAACTTGTTTTTGCTTACTCTTTTCTTACTCGGTTTTTAAAACATCTCTTAAGTGCTTCCCTTCAAAGTAAAGATGTTTTAATGCTATTGAAGCTACGTGGAGGTGACTTTCTAGGAGCGAACGGTAGAATCATGTAGCGTGATTCTCTGAATTCCCTGGACACCTGGGGGTTTTTCGCTGTTGCACGGGAGACCGGTGCATTTCTAGCTGAGGCGGCACAGAGTGTCTCCTGACGTGCGTTTTCATGCCCGGTTCAGGGGAGGTTGTGGTAGTTGTGCCATGAGCTCTGTGAGAACAAGGCAGAGTCTGACCTCACCGTGCCTGGCCCTTTGCATGGCTCCCAGCTGGCTCAGCGTGGGTCTGACAGATGAGGGAGGATGTGTGTGTGCATGGAGCAGCGGCTCTCCTGGTGGAGCAGGCACTACTGTGGCCCTCGGCCCTGCAGGGAGCCCTCCCAGCAGGCCCAGCTCCTGTCTGCTGTCTTATTCCCATGCCCACGTGGAGAGACAAGCACCTCCGGGCTCCGTCCCTCTCCGGGCTGGGCATACCAAGGGTAGTCCCCACTGTCCACACGCCCTTAGGTTGGGGGGAGCAGAGCTGGGCCAGTGCGAGGCCTTCTTTCTGCTCTGCCAGGGTGGCCTGGGCCACGGGGAGATGGACTTTGAGACAAGGGCCAGGGTCCTCTTTTCAAAAGTTCCTACAGCAGCCTCTGAATATGGACTGTCCACCTCTGAACCTCAACCTCCCAATCTGGAGAATGGGCATAGCGGGCATGCCTGCCTGAGGGCTTCCTGGGAGACGGTGGTGAGCTGGTGGGCATAGCACAAGCACGCAGCGGTCACCCGCTCACGGTGCCTGTGGCTGCTCCCTCCACCTCTGGCTCATCGTCACCGTCTCTTCAGCTGGGCACAGAGTCACACATTGCCACCACCAGTCTTCGGAGAGTGTATTTCAAGCAGTGTCTGACATAACAGTGCTTGAAATTCTCGGTGCTAAAAAGCGCCGTGTTGGGAACCAGCAGTTAGCGTAATGGCTATGTCGCTGGACTCCCACGTAGTCGACCGCAGTTCGCGTCCTGGACCCGGTGGCTTAAAACTCATGCCGGGCGCGTGTATGTGCATGCCCAAGGTCTCGAGAGGAGAATGGAGAAGGGATCGTGGTGTGACCATCCCCCCTGGGGGGTGATTTCTCGCTTTCTGTCTCTATGTCTCTCTCTGTCTGGCGAATGCACGCGCCCTATAGCTGAAAACCTCTCAAAAAAAACCCCCCAAACAAACAAAAAGCGCTGACACTCTTTGACAAGATCATTGCGGGTGGCGTCACAGCCTCATGGTTGTGAGGCAGGCCAGCTGGCCCTGTTGGGGACGTAGGTGCAGTGAAGTCCGAGCAGGAACAGCCTACAGGTTCCGGGGCCTGGCATCCGGGCTCGGCATTTGTCGACTGGGTGCACGTGCCTTGGAGCTATGTCGCTGGACTCCCACGTAGTCGACCGCAGTTCGCGTCCTGGACCCGGTGGCTTAAAACTCATGCCGGGCGCGTGTATGTGCATGCCCAAGGTCTCGAGAGGAGAATGGAGAAGGGATCGTGGTGTGACCATCCCCCCTGGGGGGTGATTTCTCGCTTTCTGTCTCTATGTCTCTCTCTGTCTGGCGAATGCACGCGCCCTATAGCTGAAAACCTCTCAAAAAAAAACCCCCAAACAAACAAAAAGCGCTGACACTCTTTGACAAGATCATTGCGGGTGGCGTCACAGCCTCATGGTTGTGAGGCAGGCCAGCTGGCCCTGTTGGGGACGTAGGTGCAGTGAAGTCCGAGCAGGAACAGCCTACAGGTTCCGGGGCCTGGCATCCGGGCTCGGCATTTGTCGACTGGGTGCACGTGCCTTGGAGAAAGTCTGAATGAATGTTCCTGTTAGAGTTGGACAAATGCAAAGGCACTCTGTGCACACTTGGAATCAGTGCTTTCGGTAGAGCCGACTCTTCTAGAATCTCTGTGACTGCTTTCTCTTTCAGACTCAAGAAACTCGAGAGATCCTACATTTCCACTATACCACCTGGCCTGACTTCGGAGTCCCTGAATCGCCAGCCTCGTTCCTGAACTTCCTCTTCAAAGTCCGGGAGTCGGGGTCTCTCAGCCCGGAGCACGGCCCCATCGTGGTGCACTGCAGCGCGGGCATCGGGCGGTCGGGGACCTTCTGTCTGGCTGACACCTGCCTCTTGCTGGTAAGGACACGCGTACACGCATAGAACCCTGCCTGGCTAGACGCCGCTCCTCTCGCTGCCAGCTAACCAGCTCTGGGGTTCACGTTGAACAGCCTCTCCCCTGTCCACGTAGCTTTGCCCTAAAAAGCTTTGATGTGGAGATCTTCCAAATTTGAATATGGCCTCCAAAGAACTCCGTTCTCTCATTCTTCACTCTTGTAGCCCTCTGCTCGGGTGGCATTGATGGTGCTGCGTTTCTCACGGTTTTAAAATTCTTTGCGTGCTCTGCTGTGATTTTTCCTAACTAGAAACCAGAACACTCCTGTCCAGAAACTCAGAGTCACACTGCGCTGGAGAGTTGGAGCTGGCTGAATTTGTCTCCTTTGGCTTTCAGATGGATAAGAGGAAAGACCCTTCCTCTGTGGACATCAAGAAAGTGCTGCTGGAAATGAGGAGGTTCCGGATGGGCCTGATCCAGACGGCGGACCAGCTGCGCTTCTCCTACCTGGCTGTGATCGAAGGGGCCAAGTTCATCATGGGAGACTCCTCTGTGCAGGTCGGGGTTGCTTTTGCTTTAATCCGGGTGTGGGGTCCTAAGTTCATGTCTTTGAGGGAGGCTGCCTGCCTATTGTAGGAGTTCAGACACTGTTGACTCGCGGTGAAGAGCTGCCCTTGGTTTAAAATAGCTAGAAAGTCATCGTGCTGTTCGTTCAGCCTCTGCCTTGAAGTGCTCACGGAGAGAGGATCTCTAGAAGAATCGGCTTCGTTTTCATTTTCCTAATGTTTGGTGGGAGGGCCCCTCCACGCCGTCCCCTCTGCTCACGCAGAGCAGTGGATTTCCTGATGGGCTAGCCAGAAGTGAGCGCTGACAGGCCCCTCCATTCTTTCCAGGATCAGTGGAAGGAGCTCTCCCATGAGGACCTGGAGCCCCTGCCGGAGCATGTCCCCCCACCTCCCCGGCCACCCAAACGGGTCCTGGAGTCACATAACGGGAAGTGCAAAGAGTTCTTCTCGAACCACCAGTGGGTCAAGGATGAGACTGAGGAGGACAAAGATGACCACATTGAGGAAGAAACCAGAAGCCCCTTGAATGTACCCTATAGCCCAGAAAGGTAGTGGGAGAGGGTCCTGGCATGGGGGTCGAGGGAAAATGACCTTACATTTGAAAATGCCTGTGGGTACTGATACCCTGCGGACGTGGCCACTGTTGGCAAACAGTGCTTCTGCATCCTTGGGAAATGGGGCTTCCTGGCTGGAGGAGGCCTGCACTGGGCACAGGGTGGCCCTGGACAGTGAGTGGCTTCTGTAGGGTTCTAGCGCCACCTGGTGGTGCTTGTTGGAATCAGGGGCTCCTGCAACTGCTAGAATCTGCCCAGTGATGATGGAGCCCTCTCCTGGCCCTGGCTGTCCAGGCTTGACCTGGACTTCCTCCCAGTGGCCATTTGAGGAACTTGACCTTTTTGTATACACATTACTATTGATAATTAGTTGCCATTTTGCTTCCCTATGGCTTTGCTGCCATCACTCAGCACCTGTTAGTCTATGTGGGATATTCCAACGTATTCTAGACTGATCATCTAGTTGGGAAGGAGGCAGACCCAGAGTGTACTGTGGAGCCTGTGGTTGCCAGAGTGCATGCTGGTTGTCAGGGAGGGCTGCCTGCAGGAGGCTGCACTGCAGGGAATCTTGAAGAATGAATAGGAAATAGCCCAGGCCTGAGACTGCTGGTTGCCCCTTGGTGCCTCCTTTTAGAGGAAAGTTTGCTTCCTCTGGAGTGTGCACACGTGGGCCCAGGAGTTGTTTACACCGAGAAACTGACCCTGCGGCAGTCTTCAGACAGGTGTGCAAAGGTAGGTGGCAGCTGTGCTTGTAGCGGCGTCATCGGCCACGGTGAGAACTGCAAGGCGATCTGACATGTGTCGTGCTGGGTCAGTCCTGCCTTCTCCTGTGTTGGGATATTCCACAGCTGCTGAAGAGGAGACCCGGGACAGCCACGTGGCCAAACGCAGGGGTCGCAGGGCACACCAGGGTTCCCCAGCTGAAGTGACTCTCACAGCAACTGCCACCCCGGCACCGTGGGCTCTGCCCTGGCTGTAGAGGCGCCCGAGGTACCTGGGGTGTGGAGACAAGTGCACTGAGGCCGATGTCTGCCGTGCTGGCACACGGAGGCTCCCTCCTGCGGAAGGCTGGCTTGCTGGCACAGAGCACCCCCACGCTCCCGTGTGCCTCATTCCCCTTAGAGTTCTTCGCAGAATAATAGCGTCCCTGCTGTCTATTTCCCCAAGCCAGTCACCATGTCTGCCCCTCTGATTCCTCAGCACGAGTCAAGACACTGAAGTTAGAAGTCGGATCGTGGGGAGAAGTCCGCAAGGCGCCCAGGCCGCCCACCCTGCCACAGGAGAGCCATCGCTGCCCACGGAGGAGGCGGACCACGCGCTGGCTCCCTGGAAGCCCTTCCTGGTCAACGTGTGCATGGCCACCGTCCTCACGGCCGGCGCGTACCTCTGCTACAGGGTGTGTTTCCACTGACCACGAGCGGGGACAGCGCGTGCAGAAGCACTGCTGCTAGCCGGGGCAGAAGTCGGTTCTGTGGAGCCTGAGCCTGTCTCAGAGGAGACAGGTCGAAGGTGTCTCGAGTCTGGACTGCGGAAGGGCTAACGAGAAGGAAGGGCTGGCGCACTGGGTTCCGAGGCGCCCTGTGGTCCCAAGGACGCTCGCGTCTAATCTCAGGGCCTTAACCTATTCAGGAGTAAGTAGAGAAAATGCCAAAAACTTCTCTCTCTCATCTTTCTTTTTCTTCCCTTTTTCTTTAGTTCATTTGTTTTTGGAAAAAAATAGAATTACAACACATTGTTGTTTTTAACCTTTATAAAAAGCAGCTTTTTGTTATTTCTGGAAAAAAGACGAGGCACTTCTAAAACTTTCTGATCAGATACACAATTGATGTGGATTCCCAGGGAAAGATCCCCAACCCTTGCGAATGTAACTCCCTTGGAGGAGAGGGCTCCCAGGCCCCCGGCACTGGGCCGCTGGTGCCGTCTGCTTTCCTATTTGAAGACGAGGAACAACCAAGGCCGTGTCTGCAGCATTCGGCTTCTGCTTTGCTCAGGGCGTCCCCGCTGCCTTCCCACGTCCCATCCCCCATCCATCTGTGCCCGCCATCTTGCTCACGCGCCAGCGTCTGGTCCCCCACCCGTGTGGGCTCTCCTCGAGGTTCTGCCTCAGGGTCAGAGGTCACCACAGTGTGACTATGGCACTTTACCCGCCATAGAGACCCTGGGGCGCAGCCTCAGAGACCCCCATTGGCACCGTGCTGCTGTGGGGGGCCTGGCCTGGGAGCTCTATTCTTGGAAATCACCTACCAGGACATTTTCAGTCTTTTACTTCTTTCCAAGTGGCCATCTTTGGGTGGTGTGTTAGATGGCGTAGCAGAACGCAAACATTTTTTCCTTGGGAGTGATTTTCAGGAAGAGGCTGTTATGAAAACACAAAACCCCAAACTGTCCCTTTGGTGACTCCCCTTTGGTTGGAGCGCTGGGGGTGGGGGGATGAGGGTCAGGGTCCCAGGCTGGTGCACGAGCAGCCCGTCTGCCGTGTGGCTCTGGCTCATCTGAGATGCTTGGTTTCATTCCATTCCTGTTCAACAGCACTTAACCTCCACCCACTGTCCGCCTCTGCTCAGCTAGCAGGCGTGCCACGGTAGGCGAGGGCCGCCGGGCAGCCAGAGAGCCATGCCCAAGGGCGCCTGTTCTGCACTGGCACCCCCTTGCCCCGGGCTGCGTCTCACCCCGTCCTTCCACTTTCCCCTCCGCGTCCTCCCTCTGATACCAATCCCACATCCCAGTTTCCGCGTCACCCAGTCTCGGACTCGCCCCCCGAGTGTGCCCTGGTGCGTCCCGGGCGGCACGCCACAGCTTCCTCAGAAGCCTCCGTGGGGTCTGTGCAGTAAGCCTCTCCACCCCATATTTATTCTCACTTTTCTCCCCAGAGGTGTCCACAGTGCACTAGCATTTTCTTAGGCCAATAATGTATTAAGACTTTTGATGTCAGCCTTGCATCAAGGGCTTTATCAGAAAGTACAATGATGATCCTCAGGTAGGACTGGGAACAGAAGGCTGCCACGCCTGTGCGCCACCCAGGCCCCGAGGGGGGACGGCATGGGCGGGCGCCACGGGACGTGGGACGAGGCAGTGGCGCAGCAGATGGTGAACTGTTGGTTTCCTATGAGACACAGTGTGAAGGACACTGTCCTGGCCGCCTCCTCTCCCGGTACCTGCTAGCCCCCGTCCCCGACCCCGTCCCCGTGTGTATTCGAGTGCATGTGAGGGCCCTGTGTCCTGATGACTGCCATGTGCTTGAGATGAGGAACGTGGCTGCGCTTACCGATGTGCCCGCGGACCAGTCTGAGCCGCCCCGCATGAGCCGCGCACGTGACTGGTTCCTGAGGCCTCCGCCAAGTGACTGTCGTCCGCAACAGCGCGGTCTCCCAGCCACGGCTGCCCAAGGCCTGCCGCTCT